GAGGATGTTTAAAACTGTCCCTAAGGTTCAGCCTGATTCTAGGAATCAGTGATTCTATTCTGTGGTCCAATACCCTTCTTCTTTAAGGACCCTTCCTTTTTTTGTAAACGAATTCTTATCCTTATTCTGTGTGCTGACCAGTATAAATTGAGAAGTGGCAGAGCTGGGAGATGGACAGCAATGGGAGTACTACAATTTCAGTTCACTTTTTTTTTCTAACTTGTTGAAAGAATCCCTGTAAGGACTTCCATGGAGCTTCCCTTGTTATTTTCCTCCCAACATGAACTTTTCTCCCCTTCTTGCACTTCCTTTTTAATCAGCTCTATAGCATGTCTCCTAAAGGCTGCAAGCTGAGTGGGATAATCAAGGCTGGTCTAAAGCTAGACTGGTTACAGTAAAAAAAAATAAAGAAATAAAAAAATAAAGAAAATGAAGAAAGAAACAACCAAAAAACATGATAGGATCTTCATTTTGTATATTGTGTCTCCAGCATATACATGATACTATAATTATCTGACTATGTACAGTTTGGGTGATTGCACAGTGTGTTATGCTACTTAGTGCCTTGTTTGGAAAATGCATATTAGAGCTGAAGGCAAAGGTTGGTTTTTCTGAAGGTGAGATCAGATCTCAGATACAAAAGGAGATTTCCTATTTTACCTTTATCCCTTGCCTCCAGGGATCTGAGTTGTGGCTTCAACTTCAGTGGCTAATCTTAGCTTAGGTTTTCAATTTCTCCCTTCTATCTTATTCTTTATTCAGTTCTTGAAAAAAAAAGGTTTCTATAGTTTTTGTGGTGATGTTTTTATTGAATGGACCTCACCTATGAATCATAAACCCCTGCTATGAAACATTAAGGTTAGAATATGTTTTTCCCTCCTTTTGGGAACCACCAGCTCAGTGGTGTGAGGCCCAAGATATTGTGAAGAGGATGGGAAGGTGAGTTCACCCAGGACTTCTGCACCCAGGCTGTGAGGTAGTTATCAGGAGGCCAGGACTTTTCCCTCATGACTGACTAGAGGTGTTGTTTATGCTGAACATTTAGATTGCCTTAATGAAGAGTCTGTGCACCTTTGTTCTATTAGCAGTAATGTGAGGGATAAAAACACAACACTCAGATGTATAGAGTTGGCCAATTTCCTGGTGTAAATACCCCCATTGTGACTGATTTTAGGCTACCGACCTGAAGCCCCTGATGTATTTAGGAAGAGGGACACACGAGGCTCTCACCAGCGTGCAGGAGCACAGTACCGCACACCAGGCTCAAGTGCAGGTATTTTTATAGCAACAGGACCCATTTCCTAATCAAATGGCTAAGGGGCTGTGATATTATCCCGGTTCCAGTGCTTGGAAAACCTGCCATGATTGAAATCTAATGTGTTATTTTCTCATAAAGGAAGCCTATTAGCGTCGGAGGAATGCTAAGGAGGTACAGTTCTCCATTAGAGCTGGCATATCGTCAACCTCTTTGCTGCTTCCCTCTGTCTGGTGCTCTTGGGCCAAGTATTAAAAGCGGGGAAGAGTGAAGAGGCAAAACACACTGTCGGGAACTGCCCCTGAATCCTCCTTAGCAGACACTGTAGCTCTGTAGTCTAAATCAGGGATTGGTGCCTGGCGCACCTCAACAAGAGTGTGAGATGGCTGGCTAACCGTTTAAATGTCCTAGTGAGCAGCCTCCGGGTCATTAGCTGAGGAATCCCACTGCCGCAGGTTGCACAACTGTTTCTTCCATCCTGTGTATCCCCTGAATCCTGGGTTCTAAGATCCATCTGCGTCTGGCCTGCGCCCGCTGCCTGGCTGATAGATGGGCTCGCCTAGCTTGTTTTCCTTCCAGTGGCTCCGCCAGTGTGAAGTATAGGGTTGGAAAGAGAAATGCAATTTAGCGGTCAATTCGAGGGAATTTGTTTTCCTTGCCTCCAGATGGGAATGCTTTCTCTTCAGATGTTATCTAGACTCTTCCACAAGAGAAATTGGCCTATACTGGTATATGAAGCCGGAGAATTTTTCTTTTTTGGTTTAGGTCAATTCAATTAATATTAATTGAGTGCCTCCCATGTGCATCATAATAAGTGATGGGGAAACAAAGGGCAGTAAAACGTGATTTTAAATATATATATATTTTTTCATATATATATATATGAAATTTGTGCACTGGTAGGGTCCCTAGCAGCTGCCAGCTGCCAACTCCCTCCCTTCCCCCGGCCAGCCCTGCCCCCTGGTGGAACTCCCAGAGGAGCGCCTGGTCAAAGGGACAGTTTGCATACTATGCTTTTATTATATAGGATATAACTCTTCGAGGGGACCCGAGTTCTAATTATTCATTACTTACTCTTATTCTACAACAGGAATTCGAATTCCTGAAGCTTAGATACAATGAGACCACAAGCATCTGAGAGTACTCTCTAAAAGGGAGGGGAGAAGGAGGAGAGAGAAAGGGAGAGGGAGAGGGAGAAGGAGAGGGAGAAGGAGAGGAAAAGGACAGGCTGACTTGTTTTTAAGAACCTGGACATTAGAATACCTGGGTTTTAATCCTAGCCCTTTCATTAGTAGCTGTATGACCTTGATCAAATTAATCCCTCTGCCTTAGGTTCTGCATCTATAAAATAGAGGTAATAATAATAAGTTATCACATAGGGTTTCTGTGCAAATTAAATGCTGTAATACATGTACACTACTTAGAAACTGCCTGGCACATAGTAAGCACTCACTGATGTTGTTTATTTTTAACTTATTAGCATCAGCCAGCTACCATGACAAATACCTTAAAATCACTTATTTACTTCATTTTATCGCTAAAATATATTACACCTGGTTTTAAAATTAAATAGTTCCCACTTGACTGGTGTGGCACAGTGGTTGAGTGTTGGCCTTTGAACCAGGAGGTCATGTTTTGATTCCTGATTCCCAGTCAGGGCACATGCCTGGGTTGTGGGTTTGATCCCCAGCGTGGGTCATGCAGGAGGCAGCCAATCAATGATTCTCATAATTGATGTTTCTAGCTCGCTCTCCCTCTACCTTCCTCTCTAAAGTCAATAAAAATATATTTAAAAATTAAATAAATTAAATAGTTCCCTTCAACCACATAACTAGTAAATAGGATTCCAATATTTTTAACTAAGGCCTCTCTGAATCCAAAGCCTGTATCCCTCATCACTCCTGTGTTGTATCTCTTTTCTAAATTGGTCTGCTATTTTTAAAGAGATCTAAAATTTAAATTTTTATTCATTGTTTCCATGTGTGTGAAAGTTGAAGCTCCTTTTCTCCTTGGAACCTTATTCTGTAAAATTAAACAAATATAAAATACAAGGGGATGTCTAAGAAATTTAGTTTTCTAAATGAGAACTATGATAAGCGGTGATAGATGGAAATTAAATACTATGAGAAAATAGAAGGTGTTTTCCTGTTTTGGTTCTATCTTTAATGCCCCCAGTAGAAAACTCCCCATGGACTATGTTCCACTCCCATGACAAAAACTAGTATTTTGGGACTAGTTTCCTTTTTTAAAAAAATCCTTTGAGAATGTAAGAATTTGTTCCTGAGCAAGAGAGACGCACTTTGTTTTGAGCAATGAAGGATTTTTCACATTGAGATACACTCCTCACACTAGGTGCCTGTGTCATTAAAAAACCCAGCTGAGCCAGGCTGGCACGGCTCAATGGCTG